TCTCTCTCTCTCCCTCCCTCTCTCTCTCTCTCTCTCTCTCTCCCTCCCTCCCTCTCCCTCTCTCCTCAATTGATGTTTATTCACAATACAAGCGTATAATCAATGAAATGTTTTCAGCGTTTGTATACCATTTAGACTATTTTGAAAGAGTAATAAAATAAAGATAATTATTATTATACTGTGTTTTCTCACAATAGCCTTGAGTTGCCATAAAAGTGATGTTTTTGATAATAAATGAATGCATTTCCTATACTGTATAACAACTTTTTTACTTAACTATTTATTTCTAACATTTGCTTATGTCTGACGTCTTGGAAATGTTTAAATAAAACTTATATTCAAAGAGTTTGTCTCATCGATAGATACGACACAAGTCTGCGTTAAAGAGGCAAACATTTAACTCAATATTTTTACGAAAACATGTTTTTCAAAATAATTCCGCATTTAATTCATTGTTATTAAACGAATAGTCATTTCAATTCACATGACTTTCTTTCAATCAAAAATAACATGAGATGTAAGCAAACCCGTGACCACAACTCTATGAGCTCTTATACCCGTTGCCCGCAATTTGACCCACAATTCAATACCATTAATGAAAACTACATTTTAACCACAATTCAGATATGAATAAATAATGTGGTTTATAGGATCGCTGACACCACCCGTCTCCCCCACATTGAGATTTAACATGGGATTACAGCTTAAGTCTATGGCTATACCATAATGTACTTTAACATGGGGATAATGTTATCCTATGGGTAATGTTAAGTTTATGGGAGTAATGTTAATTATATGGGTAATGTTAAGTCTATGGCAATGCTAATCCAATGAGTAATGATCAGGGCATTGACAAATATTCAAAATAAACCCCTTAAATATGTCATATAATGCAAGTAAAGTGGGCAACATTTGCACTAAAATATGCATATATTTTCAATAAATTTTTCAATAAATAATACATAATTTTGCTATTAATTTATCAATTATAGGGATATTTAGTAAATTTGTGAATATTTAAGTATAGTTTGAGGTGTTTTGCCTAAATATGCTTCAATTTTATCTATTATTTCAAATTCATTTACATTTCAGCAAATTTTATTATCAATAGTTTTTTAGTCAATTTTAGCCAAACAATATGGTAAATATTTTACATCAATGAATTTAGATTTATACAATTGGCATATTTAAATTAGTTTTTACATAATTAAATATCCAAACATTAGGTTTATAGACATAAAACGCATACATTTTTAATACATTTGTCAAAATATGCGCTTAAAATGCTGGTATAGTTGAAATATGCGTTAACCCATGAAATATGCATTTATATGCGACATCAAACGGCTGTGACTCCCAGTACGTGATCGGTGGACACCCGGACACTCGCACTGATACTATGCACCGATAAATATATGCAATTTCAATGTCTTGGTAATGTTAAGTCTATGACTAATGATATTCCTATGGGATTCATTGACACGGAATTCGAGGCATCCAATCTACAGGTGTTCATACAAAGTATATACATTTACCGTAACATTTTTAATTGTTGTAATTTTATATTTCATAAAATTAATATTACTATTCTCCACTCAAACAGCATCTAGATTGTAACCTATTACTGTATTAATCAATACTGTTGGACCATAGTAATCAATAGCCCTGTTTTAGGCATGCTTGTTTACAATTAAAAACACTATTCAATTACAGCCACATCTGCTCGAAATGTATTGATAACCAAACCATGTTTTGTCCATCGATTTAATGTTTCGAAACTTTATATTCAAATAATTTTAATTTTCAATTTATTTATCAAAAACTG